ATCTAGTGATATTTATCCGTAACGCGTTGAATCTTTTTACGTATAATCAATAAATTACGAGATAAAACGAACGCATATATTTAAGTCTTTCGAGCTGCGGTGCACGTAAAGCGACTTGGTCGCTTACAATATTCTCTTTTCCACTACCCATTTTCAAACACCACAGTCGAAGGGGAAGCGGCTATCGCTTGCATCTGAAGATAATTTTCACTAAAAGACACTGCGTGGATTCAGGGTTGTGATGGAAATCCACTTAAGCAATCCAAGTTTGACTGGATCCTGCCATGTAAGATACATTAATTTGCATCTAACGCACGGGCCACAAGTTTTCGTCTCTGCTCTTCTGAACCTCAGTAATATCCCCGAGTCACTCGCACTTTTTGTATTACGAGGGTGAGCAACGACGCGTCCCCACACAATATATTAAAAATTTTTTAGCCGAGCCTGAACTCGCGCTACACCACCCGCCGCCTTGTCAGCATACGAACAAGTGAAATTTCTCCCACTCCATGTTTTTAGATTCAGAACATTACTAAAGAAAAGCCTTAAAATACTTCACAAAGTAGGGTTGACGAGGCACAAATGATATAGAGTTGCATCTGCACGAGCATGTGTTATGAGTACAGAGATCGTGCGAGCGTAGGTATAGCAACAGGAGGAGAAAGGTACATTTCCAATTACTTTTCGTACAAATGTAGACCCCGTCGGGGTAACTTTAGGGGGTTTCGGAGTAGGCGGGCAATGTTTTTATTCAAAGACCATAACTGTGACGGGGTGAGAGCCCGTTACCGTCTTACACTAATAATTAAGCTGAGGAAGCGCTGTGATTTATAAGTTAAATTTAACTCTGTTTGTATTTTTGTGTTTTTATAATTCGCAGTAAGTGCGAATATGTTCCCTAGCTCATGGGAACCACTCAAATACAGAACTAATTATTATTGGCTAATTATTGGGTCTGGCACCCCAATAATAAACCAATAATAAATAGACGCGCAGTATCCGCTATCCGGATACTGCCTACACTTAATGTATGTAATTATGTAATAAAACTATGACTACTTAATATAAAGGTGTTGCCCCATTACATCACCCCCCTCTTTAAGTTGCGCTTACCGTGACGTAAGCGCCATACACAGAAAGTTTCTTCTTAACGAATAGTCCAACGAAAAGCCCAACGAGAACTCCAACGACACGTCATCTTGGTCTTCAAATCTGCTCAGCCACAAACAACTGAGCAGCATGAATCCTGAACACCCACGCGACTCGACCCCAAACGACAGTTGGGGTCATCAGACACTTCGAAGAGAGCGTGCACCGCAGACCATGGATGACGACTTGAAGCCGTGGGGCTTGTACAGCCTTGAAGGCGCGCACCAACCTGAATCACTTGAGACCATGAAGAATCTCTTCACACGATACCGTAACGTTCGAGGCAAGGGAACGAATCACACATACACTGAAGACGCACTGCAACGATCTTGGTGTGCCTTCATCAGACGTTGGAACGCGAGTCGACGTGAAGGGGCATCCTTCACGTCCTGGATCGAGGGACGCGAAAGTACTCATGGCGACCACGCTATTGGCGACTTACGACGACGCGTATGTCATTTGACTCGTGATGGGTTCCACATGTGTTACGTCCATGTCCGTGAAGGGTGTCCACGGTGTCACATGGAGAGACCGCGACCAATGCGGCAGGAATGGGACGACATGGTGTGTGCACGGAGAATGCCCCAGCACATCCGACCATGGATCGGACTCTATGAGAGGAGCCTCTCAGAGCTCCAAGTATCTGCGTTGCGTCACATGAGGGAACGCCCTGTCGATCAATGGAGACGTTCACGTAGTCGAGATCGTTTGTCTTACGACCACCGAGGTCGTTCTCGTAGTCGCTCTCGACCGTCAAGGTATCCAAATGCTCCCGAGCCTCGTAGAAGACGTCGGAGTCGCTCGGGAGATCGTCGTCGATCGCCAATTCACGCACGTTACGGTTCGCGGGATCGTGGAAGGAGTCAGCAGCGTCGGTCGCGTTCGCCGACCTCTTACTAATCTCGTACTCCTCAACGACGTCAGGAACATCGTGAGCCAGTATACTTCGAGGCTCCCACGTGTCTTCCGTTGGTGAATAACCCAACCATCGGACCTTGTAATGCGTTTCTGAACGACTCTTCGATGGCGCCGAGCCACTACTCGGCGCAAGAGGCGTGGGGTCTTCATGACCGACGATACGGTCCACAATCCAGCGTCGCTCACCCGATGCATCTACCAAGGGAGGAGGAGCATCACGACGGAAGGCTTCTTGGGTTGGGCGCCGATTCTCATAATCGGGCGCCTGTGCCGTCGTGTGACGAGCTTCGTTTCCTTCGTGCTGACACTGAAGAGGCGATGAACGGCCTTCTGGATGCCCGTGAGATGGCCGAGAGGGCTCGAGATCGTGCAGCAGCTGCGACAGAGGCTGCCGAGAGAACCCGACGGGAGCAGCAGGGCTTGGTGGAGCGTCTGCGACAGCTCGAGACTGCTGCGTTCGGTGGACCCCAGCAGAACGAGTCTGCTCGCGCTCGTCTAGGACTTGGTCCCAGTCGTCGTCAGCGTCGTCGGCAGGGGGTGTCGGACTTTGAGCCGATACAGACGAGTGAGGAAGGACCAAAGGGAGATCCGCCGGCAGGTAAGCCTTAAGGCGCCCGACATAGAATGTCGGGTGCAAACGCATAGTGGTAGGTATGTCTAGCGTGTAAGCATCTCCATGGACTTCAACAATCCGAAAGGGCCCAATATATCTTGGCGCTAATTTATTAGCGCCCAAATTCGTTACTGACGTGTCTGGTAATCCGCTTGTCGATAGTAAGACTCTGTCACCTTCTTTGAACGTCAGCAAGTTCTTTCGACCTCGCTTGTCCGCGTTCTCCTTTTGTTTATCCACTGCTTCTTGGAGTGCATCGCGTACAAAACGCGTGATACTTTGCCGTAGTAATAGGAATTCGGTCACAGCAGCCGAACTTACAGGAGAAGTGGACTCTTTAGGAGCAAAATTAGCGACGGGAGACGCGATGGGATGCATCGCGTCGGGACTCGATATGCCATTGGCCACGAAATTAACAGTATGAGTTGCATCGGCAGCAACCTTGTATTCAACATTACCAATCATCAAAATTTTTCGCGTAGTGTCATCGGGAGATACTCCCCCACCAAGCTGAGAAACTGGGTGTGCTGAAGCTGAAAGAGCAAGAAGCGCTGGAACGCGAGGGTGCCTCGCGTTATTCACGAAAAATGGCGTTAACCCAGTCGACGCATGAATTGCGTTGTTGATTGCAAATTCAGCGAGAGGGAGAAACGAACTCCACGACTGGAACGATGTCGCATAACTGCGTAGTACATCTTCAAGCACTCTGTTCACGCGCTCCGTTTGCCCATCCGTCTCTGGATGGGCTGCCGTAGACATAAGCAGTCGCGTGCCCAATAGTTGAAACAACGTTGCCCAAAAAGCTGATGTAAAGCGCGGGTCGCGGTCCGAAACAATTGACTCAGGCAAGCCGTGATGTCGAAATATGAGATCGATGAAGATCTGCGCGGTCGTCTCCGCCGTAACGTGCGCGGAGACTGGAGCAAAATGCACCATTTTGCTAAATCGATCCACAAAAACCAATACGCCCGTGCGTTTCTGTTCGTCCGGAGGGAGACCAAAGATGAAATCCATGCTGACCGAACGCCAGGCTTCCGTGGCAATCGGAAGCGGACGCAATGGAGCTTGTGAAGACGGCGCAGGCTTCACACGCTGGCATATTTCACAAGAGCGTACCCATTTCTGGATGTATTTGTACATACGCGGCCAGAAAAACACACGAGAGATGGCCGCGAACGTCTTCTCGCGACCCAAATGACCACCAGTTGGAGTGTCATGAAATTCATGCACCAATCGTGCGCGGAGGTCGTCATCAGCAGGGATGACGACGCGCGGTGGGTCGAAAACGTCCATTGTATAAGTCAGCAGCGGACCATCAAGCGCGTACCGCTTGATGTTGTCACGCGTTGGTTTCGTCAACTTCGCGAGTGAACCCTCACTAGGGTGTCGAAGATAATTGATGATTCCCGTGTAGAATGAATCGTTCGCATATGACTCAGCGATTTGAGTCCGGATTGACAGCTCAGGTGTCGAAATCATTGCATTGAGCCCCTGCTCAGCACAGCATAAACAAATGTCGTCGTCCTCGTCTTCAGCAAAGCCTGGCTGATGACCCATGTCACGTCGAGGATCATAATCGGGACGTCGAGAAAGCGCGTCAGCAAGAACGTTGTTCTTGCCGGGTTTGTAAAAGACCACGAAATTATACTCTGAGAAATATGACAACAACGTGCCATACGCTGGGACAAGTGGGGAGTCTTGACGGCGGTACGCAATGATGCGTGATCTGTATAGACCGAAAACATCTTCTCGCCGAGCAAATATACTCTGAACTTGATCAGCGCGCAAAGCATAGCAAGCAGTTCCTTGTCGTGTACCGGATAGTTCCTCTCTACGGGTTTCATCTGTCGTGACTGAAAGCTCACGACGCGCTCTCGGCCCTCATCGTCAAACTGCATGAGGGCACATCCAATAGCGAAATCACTCGCATCATAGACGACGTGAAATGGCTTGGAATCATCAGGCAACATCAGCACTGGTGCTTCAGACAAGCTCTTTTTCACAGAGTTGAAGGCAGAGTGATGTTCAGCTTTCCATGACCAAACTGCGTCTTTCTTCAGTAGAGTCGATAGTGGCTGGATTAGTTCTGCATAGTTCTTCGTATACTTATGCAAGTAATTGGCCAAGCCAAGCCATTGGCGTAGTTCCGTTTGGTTCCTGGGCGTAAGCCAGGAACATATCGATGACACTTTCTCGGGATCAGCACGGACACCCTCCTTGCTAACATAGCATCCAAGAACTGGAGTCTCGGGAGCACAGAAGACACACTTCTTCAAATTTGCGTACAGTTTGTTCTCGCGCATCACTTGGAACACCTGTTTCAAATGCCGAAGGTGGACCTCCGTAGCGCTGAGTTGTTGCTCAGCGCGGCTGTGAACAAAAATATCGTCGAAATAACTTGGAGCGAATCACGTAGTGGCCGAAGCACTTGTGTCACCATCCGGTTGAACGTTGCTGGAGCGTTCTTAAGGCCTTGTGGCATGACTAGCCACTCCCAAAGCATCCCACTCGGTGTGCTGACAGCGGTGAACGGGATATCACTGTCCCTCATTAAAATGTGGTAAAACCCGTCTGTCAGGTCTATGGCGCTAAAAATCTCGCTGCCGGACATGGTATCCAGTACCATGTCTTTCCGAGGAATTGGTGTTTGAGCCGGGATCGTGGCGTCATTCAACTTGTTAAAAGCATGCACGATGCGCCAACCGCCGGTGGCTTTCTTCACACAGAAAGTCGGACTCGAATGTGGCGATATGCTTTCGCGGACGTGTCCTGCCTTACGGCGGCCCTCAAAAAATTCATCAATTGCGATGACTTGGTCACGCGGTAGCGGCCACTGCCGCGTCACGCAATACTTCGATCCTGGCACGAGATCGATCTCGTGTCGCACACCACGATCCGCTGGAAGCTCAGCGGGGATATTCTCCGGAAAGATGTCGGCATACTCACGCGCGATATCATAGACAGGGTTGCCCGAAGCACGAAGGGCTTCCCAAGACTGTGCCACGAAACGTTCTTCGCGCGCTGATTTGGGCTCAGCGCTCTTTGGGCGAGCCTCCAGAACTTCTCCACTAGCTGCTTCGGCGGCTGATATGATGCACACTTGCTCGATGTCGCCGGCCTTGAGGTCGTGAAGAAAATCTTTCCATGGTAGGGATAATAGAGATGTGATCTCTGCAACAGTGCACGGAGGGCTCGCTACCTCAACGTAGCGGCCACGATGTGAAGACCCTTCCACATATTCAAGCGCACAAACGGATTCCGTCAATACATGTATCATCGTCAACGGCGCTTGAGCGAGAATTTCGTCGTCTTGGTGATCGGCGTGCACCTTTCTTGCGTTTACGCTTTCTCTTGCGTCTTGAGCCACTGCTCGAGGCTGGAACGTCGCTGTCGCTGGAGGATGAAGTACCCCCCGCTAGACGTGGGAGCTCTGTCTCCACCACGTCGTTCACATTTAAGTCCACAGCCCGTTCATTCTCGTCGATAAGAGGCGGGAGCTCGTCGTCGACCGCCTCAGATGTATGTGGGAGCCTCTGCTCGACCACCTCGGTTACAATCGGGAACCCCTGCTCGGCCGTTGTGTGTGTATGCGGGAGCCCCTGCTCGACCGCCTCGCTAGAACTCGGGAAACCCTGCTCGACCGAAGTCCGTGTGTGCGGGAACCCCTGTTCGACCGCCTCGTTGTGAATCGGGAGCCCCTGCTCGACCGATGTCCGTGTGTGCGGGAACCCCTGTTCGACCGCCTCGTTGTGAATCGGGAGCCCCTGCTCGACCGATGTCTGTGTGTGCGGGAACCTCTGTTCGACCGTCTCGTTGTGAATCGGGAGCCCCTGCTCGACCGATGTCTGTGTATGCGGGAGACTCTGTACGACCGCCTCGTCTTGTGGTTCTATGCGACTGGATATACCGGACACAGAGGGCCATCGTTTTTTCTGAGATGACTTCTAGTCGTGGCGAGTTCGTTCACGACCCTGACGTGAGGCCAATCGGATGGCGCTACCAACAGATGAGTGAAAACTTCACTTACGTCGTAACCGCTTCGTCGTTTGACGGACCGAGATAGCCAGTCTATCGTCGGCTGATACCGTGACAGCCACGGTATCCCCAAGATGCAATCGAATGCATAATTCATCTCGTACACCAAAAATTCGTCATTACTTTGGAAGCCGTCGAACGTGTACGGCAAAACCACTGTTTTACGCGGGACACGCTGTGGTTGTCCATCAGCAAGTTTGACAACGATGTCACCTGGACCTTCTCGAACCGTAACTGTCGACGGGAGAAGGGACAAACATGATGCTCGAAAGAAGTTGTTGGATGCACCCGAATCCAACAACGCTCGAAGTGGTCGTTTAACTCCAGCAACGATGAGACTGATAATTATCAGTCTCGAATCGTCGCGCATAGTGGTGGCATTGAAGTGGGTATGTATCACTTTAGGGCTAGGAGGCCGAGCTGCCACCTGAGTACTCGGGGCTCCATTACTGCCAGTAGGGCGCCCCGCACCTACTGGAACCGCTCGTTTTTTGGCGGGACCACTGACGACACAGTATCTCCACGTGAGACAGCTGTGTTCATGGACACCGGCGCTGGTGCTCGGCAGACGGCCGCACGATGGCCAGTCTTGCCGCACCGATAACACTTCATCGTGTTTTGACTTCGAATGTCGCGGCCAAATTGCTTGCCGCGACCACGAGATGCATCGATAACGTCAATTTCCATAGGCTCTGGGCCAGACGTACGCGGGCGTTGCGACGCTGCCTGCAAATATGACGATGCGACCGTGTAATCTTCACGAAGCGCGAGGGCAAATGCCTCCTCAAGAGTCTTAGGTTCAGCACGTGTGAGGCAATAGCGGGTCATGCCCTCTTGCATACCAAAGACAAAGACATGAACTTGAGACGCCATGTCGATCGGCTGCGTGATGATACACGAAGCAAGATGTCGCGTCTTCTGTACGTAATCACGCATCGACAGCTTGCCCTGTCGAAGTGAAAAGAAATCTGCGCGCAAGCGTGACTCATCTTGAGGGGGCTCGAACGCCAGTCGTAAGTCGCGCTGGATATCGTCCAGCGTGGGGAATGCCAACTCGTTTACAACGAGCTTCCCAAGAGCCCATTCTTTGGCTTTACCAACAAGCCGAGACAGTAGGAAATTAACCTTGGCCGTCGGAGCGTCAATCAACCTTGACGCTATGGCGATGTCAATCTCCCTAAACCGGCGATTAAGGGGGAGACGATCTGGACCATCACCAGAGTATGTCGACGTCTCCATTTTAGTTGCATCGTAATGGGAGGGGCGCGAGGGAGTATGTACTCGCCGGTTCGCTTCGGCGAGCTCGCGCACCATGTAGTCTTGAATGGCGGCACGGTGTTGTTCGGGCGTCGCTGTGCGCAGCAGCGACGTTACGAAGATTTATCAGACACCGCCGCAAGGCGGTGTATTGCCTGTCATTCCACAATAGTAAGATGAGGGAAGTCGGTATGCTCCAGCAAAACCGCTGGAGCGATCGGAGATTCACTCATATCCATCTCGTACTTGGTCATGGGAAGGACTACTAAGTGCTACCAGGTGTGACGGGGTGAGAGCCCGTTACCGTCTTACACTAATAATTAAGCTGAGGAAGCGCTGTGATTTATAAGGTAAATTTAACTCTGTTTGTATTTTTGTGTTTTTATAATTCGCAGTAAGTGCGAATATGTTCCCTAGCTCATGGGAACCACTCAAATACAGAACTAATTATTATTTCCTAATTATTGGGTCTGGCACCCCAATAATAAACCAATAATAAATAGACGCGCAGTATCCGCTATCCGGATACTGCCTACACTTAATGTATGTAATTATGTAATAAAACTATGACTACTTAATATAATGGGTTGCCCCATTACAATAACATGTCAAGCATTGAATGTCAATAAGCGTCTATTACATCAAGCATTATACACCTGGCTTTTCCGCTTTGAAGTGCTAGCGACCACCAATCAATTTCATTCCGGGTGCTGTTAAGTCAACAGGCTCAATGGTCATAAAATATAGACTTCCTCTCGCACAGCGACGAAGCAGCTAAACCTATGTAGGACGACCGCATGATAGGCTATATTTTTACACTAAATCATAAATTGTAAGTGGAAACCACCACTCAAATTTTCTGGGGTTTCTTAGATGCTAAACGTGTAAACTCGCCATCCAGTGTCTTGTCAATTTATTAATTGACAAGACACTGGACGGTGAGTTTGAGGATACCAATTCCACCCATAGCTTGACGCTTGCTGCGAAAGCACCAAGTGAAAAAGAAGATGTTGAAGCCCTTCAGCGCGATGTAACGTGTTGTGGTTATAGGTCCCTAGGTTGAATGAAGCCGGCAGATAGCTAATTACCGAACGACATCTTGGAAGTACAATTCGTATTGAAGTATATATCTAGGTCGTATATCTTGTCCGTAAATACGTTTAATGCATTTAGATTATGGAATAGAGAAATACTTAGTACAGATTAGCCTCACCCGTACGTATAACAATACCGTACGGGGACAATTATTAACGGTAGGCGCAGATTGTAGCCCACGCCTACTGTTGATAATTGTACGGTTTGTTTTATAATGAAATCGCATGGTGCAGTGTTATGCGCCGCTGTATATCTTCCATCTATCTAGGCGACCGCAAAATACGACCCGAAATGACCGGATGCGTACATTTGTGTGTACTTCTAGCTACACTCGGACATGTATAGTACGCTTCTAGTAAGACATGTCTAGCGTGTCCTTATGACGGCTTTCAAAGTTTGAATGGGGTGCAACTTTACCGAAAGAGGTTTGTGACTACGAGGGCTTTCAAAACTATAGGGGGGCTGAACTCCCCGAAATAGATGTGTGGCTTTTCCGATAAAAGTATGTGGCGATACCGAAAAAGGGCGTGCGGGTCTACCGGCTCCCATGTTACGGCCAAACTCCAGAGCTTGCATCCCTAACTTGTCAAAGGGTACCCTCCAGAGCATGCTATTCTACCGAAAATAAAGGCCTCAGGGACTTGACATCGATACCGGTTTAATGAGTATGCTAATTTAGGTCTCTTTTCGAGTGACGGCTTGCGTTCACACAGGTCGACCGCAATTTATTATTGAATGATAACGGGTACACGATCTTGCAAAAAAGAGTGGTTTTCACAAAGTGCATTCTATTTGATCAAAAATTGGGACTAAGTTGGTATTTGTCATCATCGATATAGCCCTGCATTTCTAAACTGATGATGCCCATTTATTGACGCAACGGCGAGCTCTGTTTACTCTAGCTCATAGAAACGTCAACACATTTCTAAACCTAAAGCTCGTTGAGACCTGCAGCCTCCCAGAGTTTTTTTTTATCAGAGCTGAAAATAGTATCACGTGCACCTCTACTGGCTTAGTGTGGGTAGGCCCAGCTCAGTACCAGTCATTATGCAACATGACCACAAGAAGAACTCACGTGACACCTCACACAAGGTCGTCAGAGACCAGCAAACAGGGCAAAACGGGGACAAGTCTGACACGACCGTCGTCCAATTGCGCGTGCGAGTGGACGACGACGACGTGCAACGTGAGACTCTGCTGGACTTTGAGTGCGATTGGACACCGGGCATTGGCGGCTCCATTTGGACCAGTGGCGAGCTGCTGGCTGCGTACCTAGTGCTGCAACGCGAATCGTACCGGTTAATCTTTACCAATGCCTGTGTCGTGGAACTGGGTAGTGGCACAGGTTATGTTGGCTTGACGGTCGCTGCGTGTTTTCGACCCGCACACGTGTACCTGACCGACTTGGAGACACACCTCCGTGGCTTGCGTCGCAATGTCAAACGTAACGCTGGCAAAGTGCGACCAGGTGTGCAGGTGCACGTCTTGGAGCTGAGCTGGGGATCATCAGAGCAGCAGACCAGTCTGCTGGAAATGGTCGCCTCGACGAATGCTGCTGGTAGTGAAACTCTAAAAGCAGCACAGGTAGACGTCATCTTGGGGACTGACGTGGCGTATATGCAGGAGCTATATGTCCCCTTGCTGCATACGATCAATCGCTTGGCAACGTCGCGTACGGTGATTCTGCTGGGCTTGAACCGCGATGACACGGGAGTCGCGTTCTTCCAGCAACTGGAGCGAGATGGGTTCGAGTACTATCGAATCCCGGATTCCAAGCTGCCAAAGGAGTACTGGGGCCGCGACTTCGGGTTGTTTGAGATTCGTCGCCGGCACGACTGAGTGAGAGTGTCCGTCGTCAAGCCAGGACCTCGTCAGCGTAGCTCATCATCGCAGGACTAGAGAAAGCAAAGCCGACGCTCAGTAACTGAATCCGGCACAAGACCCAGCGGGGCGGTGGCAGCATCGTACCGTCGACTTACGATGGTAGCCACCGACGACTGTGTTGCACCCACAGACAGCACTCAACCGCGCCGCAAGTGAATCAGTTTATGACCGAGTGACGATGTGACGCCATCCGTAATAAACTGGAAAATGACGTCGTACCAGCCACTGAAGCTCGCCTGCATGAAACTCCGCCTTGCGTGCAAACACTTGATCCTGTACCCATGTGTGCCCACCGGCAAGTACTTTACCGTCTGATCTTCCAGCATCAACCTTCACTTTTTTTTTCTCTCCGACCGGCTGTTTGCAGCAGCTCCATCCAGGATTCACACGATGCCGACTATTCTCGCAACTGACACCAATTCGATTGCGATGCCGAGGAAGAAAGGACATGTTGACGCATCATGTCCATTTGGTTTGAAGAGGTAATACCGTGAACAACCAAGTTCAACGTGCGGCAGCCATGCCGATTGGATAAAACGCGAGCGACGATGCAACAACAAGTTGACATCCCCTCCTTCTTTGATCCATATCCTCTCACAGCCGCATCCTGACATCCGTTTTCGCAGAACCTTCCGCGCGTCTTATAAGTGGAGTGAGTTGCCTTCTCGCGCCTTTTTTTCTACGCTTTCATGATCTGCACCGACAAGCAAGACAAAGCGGCTCTTCTGCTCGTGGAAGCGGCTGCCGTCGCACGTCAGTACCATTGTCTCCTCGATCCTTCCCCTGTCGCGTCCATCCTGTCCACTTTTGCGCGCGCGCTCACTCGCTCACGCGCTCTCTCTCTCTCCCTCCCTGTAATAATACGGCCCTGGCAGGTACCATCTTTATGGTACACGGTACCACCGTCTTTTCGCGACCTTAAAAAACAACAGCACCAAACGCCGAAACCTGCTCAGAAACAAAATTGCGCTGCAATCGCGACACGTCGAGCTCCGCCCACGCTGTCGCGTCTGGGTGCAATCAGAATTGAATTGATTGAATCTGTGTTTTTCAAACAGCGACGACAAAGTCGAAGAAGTAGAAATAGTACAGCCGGACCCACCCACGTCGATCTTTTCATCCAATGAGCAGCGCGCTGCCCTCTGTCACGACTGCGCCTACGGGTGCGCCTTCTACCTGGCGGAAGCGGGCGAAGACGCAGACGCAGAAGACGCACAACTCGCTCGGGTCGTGGCTCTGGAGCAAATTCGGCAGCGGACACAAGTGCAAGACCAAGTTGCTACGGGACCACCACGACGACGAGACGACGACGACGACGACCGTGACTGCCAGTGTACGACGACGACCGGTGGGTACATTAAGTGCCGTGACCAATCAGCAGCAGGCAAATGCGGCCCGACGAGAGGAAATGGGACAGCAGACGTCCAAGCTGAGACGGCAGCAGAGTTTCTTACGGCAGCAGCTGCTCGAGATGAAGCAGCAGTCGGCAGAGACGTTGGCGCGGGCTCAGAAGCGGATCAATGGCGAGATGAGGGACTCGGACGATGAAGAAGAAGGAGACGATCTGTACCATAATTACAACCACGAGGGGAGGAGGAGGAGGTTGGGGCTGCTGCTGATGTTGAAGCTGATGCTGGCCGCGAGAGTTTTGGTAGTGATCCTGCAAGATCTCGGAGCTCGTCGTGTCGACGGTCGAGTACGTCGTCACGACGTCGGAGCCTCGTGGAGGAGCAGCAGGAGCGGGAAGATGAGTTTATGGCTCATGAAGTACAGCGAGACGAGTACTCGGAAGAGGCGGATCGACGCATGAGTCAAGCGACGCAGCTTTATGCTGAAGCGATTAGTGCGTTGGACTTTGCTTTGCGTCCAGGACGCAAACGCCATCATAGCGACCCATCGCCCAAGCCGCTACTGTTGGGAGTGAAGCGAGGAAGTCCGAATATGCCCAAGAGTGAGTGGATTTGACGGGATGGTGGCAACGAGCTCGTGGGTTGTGAGTTTAGTGTTATGAAGACGCGTACGACGTGATTGTGAACCTGGCGAACGAAGACAGGGTGGGAAATGATCGCGACGGCGAGAAGCGAGACGCGGTAGTGGCGTATTGGATTGATGAGTCGCGATGCGGACGTCGTATTGTAAGGTGGACGTGGCGGGATGTCTGGGATGACTCGATGGTGGTGGTATTTTATTTTTACAGAGGCAAGATGGGGAGTGAGTACGTAGGAAATCGCACGAGTAGCAGTAGTATGAAGAGTATAAACCGTGAATAGCAAGCGATGAAAGCTGTGTACATTGAAGTTGTCTGCTGCTGTTTGCGAGAATAAACTGGTCAAGTTGAAGAGAAGAGTGCACGATCAGTCAGTGCGTTGTTCATCGCACGACTGTAGCCATTGACACTTGATCAATCCTCGTTAGCATCGGACTACGCAACCTAGCGACAACGTGTTAAGCATCTTTCCTGCGTCTTCATGGACGGTAGCAATGGGGTCGAAGTCGAAACGTCGGCACATCCGTAGTAACATCCTACCTCAAGGACGGATGGCAAACGCTAAGAGGCTTGTAGCCGTTGCACCTCCAGCTAGTGGCAAAGAGGCTGCCTGACAATGAGGTCAGCATGCTTTCCTTGTGACTTCACGGCTGGGAGTCCATCGGGCATAACATTCGTGACGTTGTTCCTCGATACATGACTGTTCCACTGGATCTAGTGCAACACACACGAGTGAAGAAGCTCAGTGCAGTGCATCCCCTATAGCAAGTGGTCAGCAATTGACTGTGAAGTGATGACAAGTAGTGACTCGATGCAGCAGAGGAACTGCACCGATGGTGGTGATCCTCAGTGTGGGCGGCACCCGTGACATCTTGACAGTTATAGTGCGCGACAACTGACGGGGTGAGAGCGTTAGGAGGGACATGTGGACGACGGGACGGAACACAAAGATAGCTGGCTACATTGTGCTGACACACAAGAGAGAGAGAGAGTGAGTGACGACGTGCGTAACGAACAAACGCGACGTGTGGGAACTCCCGACTCTCGGTTCGGTGACATTCTTTGCGTGCAGAATAAACTTCATGCAACACCTCATCCTGTTGCTACATTGTAGCGCCCTTGATTGTAGACGTAAGCTTAGCATAGTGCGCTGGACGCCTCCGAGGCATCTCAAAAGCAGTGAATAGAACATTTATCAGCTTCCCTTGTCGAGATGTCCGTCGCGACTGACAGCTAATGATGTAAATGTGAAATACCCGGACTCAGATCAACTACGCAGTATTGTTCGGCAGGATCAGTACAGACTCGGGTGATGGCAATTGAGATATGGGCAATGGCTGATGTTGCTCGTCTGTTGCTGTCACGGCGACACTATTAGCCGAAGCAGATGAGGTTGTGGTACATAACTCTCTCGATGACACTGTTGCTTTTACAACGGAAGTCACAAATCACTGACTGATTATGCTTAAACGGGATAGCTACGGCTACCGATAGTGCGTGACTAGCCATTCACGTTGACCATTTCCTACTCGAGAATGTCGTCTCGGATCGATGAAGTGACGTGACTTGAACTTGGTAAGACAATAAGTTATTGCAATATAAGTCAATCGATGTGCCTCTTCACTATCGTGAACTCACGCCGAAATAAGGCCTCTGGCGTCCGTACAACCTTAAATCGGCGTCCAACAAGATCACAGTGCACTCATTGCTAGCACGAGTGGCACCACATTAAATCAGGACACCATTTCGAATCAGAAGTGTGCCCTTCAAGCAAATCACTTTGGATGAAATGCCACACTTTGCACGTTCTTGGAGTACCGCGAAGCTAATGCGTGTGTAGCGAACCACTGTGCCCTCTTGTCTCGTCGCCGACAGGTAGTACGAGCTTTATAAGCGTTAGCAGATACTTTGCAATGTAGCGCAGGTAGCTGAAGTGGTTGCCTCAACAAAGTGGACTGGTCTTTGCACTACTCCGAGAAGTTCCACAGCTTTTGTGCTGCCCTCACCAGGCACATGTCTGGTCACGTGCATACACGTCATTCCAATGATGGCCAAACTGCAGCATCGAGGATGAGTTCCGCTTGTCCAATCGCTTGGCCGTTACTACTACAACATGATTTCGCGAGCTCCTTTCTCGAGTGTGTATTTTGTACAGAATGCCCGTCTACTTCGATCGCTAAATCATCAGCTGGACGAGCGCATCAACTAAACATTTCTACGTTTTACACCCTTATTGTGAAAAAGTCGTAAAAACAACCGCTATATAAGAGAAAGGTGTCTCTGCATTTTAATTTTTAGCCTGCCGATCTTAGACATCTTTTCTCGTTTGCACGATATTTCTCAGCTCGTGTTATCTATGACAAATATGCGTCATACGGACGTGTTAATGTTTACAAGTTTAGGCGCTGGCCAAGACACGTAGGCACGGTAGTGATGATGAAACCAGGAGACTTCCATCCGTGGCAAGTTATACTTGAATGCAACCTGCTGACTGTCATCATACCGGAGGCTAGTTTGGACACTACTGCATCTTCTAGAGCACCATGGACTTGTGAGTCGTGGCTCTCTCAGCACAGCTTGTCTCTGTCGAACGCATTTGACGTGACAATGTACTCGCTCTTTGACAGCCTTTTCACTTGTTGCTTACCATTTGTGCGAATTTGAGCTTGTCATTCACGGGGATGTTCTTGGTCCCTCGTTGAAGCTCTTCTCTGCTCTATAAAAATGTCTCTACGATCAAACTACCACCTCGCACATTCCGTGGCGATTGCTCTCACCAACTCATCGCTACGGATGACTTTAAAAGGAACCACCGCCCGCCATTTACAAAGTCATCGGTAAAAACGCAACGAATAGATGCCATGGACTCTTCTTCGTTACCAATCGTTCGGGTCATTTGCAACACCGAATTCGTTTGGCTCTAAAAGTCCTAACAACCTTTTACCGGCACCGATTTCAAAGACGAGTCGAAAGCATTGCACACACACGCTAGAAGCTCCGTCCTTCGTGTCTTGTAGGCATCACTTTCCGACTTGTGCGACCCGATGCAATAAACACATGATCTACAAACTCACTTTGACCGGCATCTGGTTTTCTGGAAGGAGGTAATGAATGGACTTGGCGGTGCGTGTTAGGTGACAAATTTCAGGAATGCAATGTACCTTCAAGTTGTACTTGCTTCACCTTTGCTGCATCGACAGTAATGCCGGAGTTCGTTCTTTTCTTTCACTGCCGATCATGCCCCGTCACCGCAAAGAGCTAGAGACAGTCGTCTGTAAATCGTTCACCATCGAGTTGTTCAGCTTTTGGCGGTCTCCAAGACCAACAAAAAAGCGTCGGACCTTCAGGATGTGAGCACTGTCCCTTCCCCCCTCCAACATTTGTAATTGCGAGCTATCGGACGGAACTCACGAGAAGACCGCCCAGCGGCTTCTCTTTGCTCCTGCTGGTGCACTTCACATTTCCCTCTTTCCAACGAAGCAGTAGCATCCTGAGCAGGTAACTCGAGATCACTCGTCGATAGTTACAGGTCTCTCCTTTCGCGATACAAGCCAAAGCTCTTCACAAGGATCTTCATCGGGATCAGCGAGCTTCGATCGAAAGACAAAGCGAAGAGCACAAACAAGCACGTCAACAGGCTACCAGCCATCTTCACTCGCGACGAACAGCAAAGTTGCCGACTTTACTTGTCGTTTTCTGGACAGCTCATTCGGACGTCCATCCCAAATTCGAGTAGAGGTTCCTCAACACCTTCGTAGTTTGCAGCTACTTCATCTCGACGGCATCAACGGATATCGTCACTCTCTCGATTGGAACGCTCGTCCTTACTCTTTACGCAGCTAGCAGGTGCCGCCAGCTCCAAAGCGCCAACAGCGCCAGTCTTCGCTACGACATGGAATTCGCCCATGACTTGAATGGAGACAATTGTCGACGTTTGCGTCAACGACTCTGTTCCCCGGCTGCAAGCACCGTTTCGGAGAACAGTGAAGACGCTCAGACGCTGTTGGAAAGTGACTTCGACTCGTCGGTCCACGACAAGTCGGAGAATGGTGACGCACCACCATGTGAGGGACATGACGTCTCACTTGCACCGCTCTCGATGGGTACAGTCGACAGCATCCATGCTACTATCGTGCAGTCCCCCACTGAAGCAAGTCGTACCGGAATTAGCTTTCGCTTTACCCTCACAACTCAGGAACACGCGAGTAAGCGCCGATCTTCACGTAATGTGGTCGAAGATGAGACCCAAAGGACGATACCTGGTGGTAACGCGCAAGCCCAACGAGACGACACGTGCCATACCAATGCCCTCGTGGCTTCACCTGCAGTGCGACGGACTGCAACAACGACAAGATGGTCATCATTGAAGACTAATGTCCACGAACAGGGTTCAACGTCGGGTGTATATCGGAAGCAAAAAGCTGCGAGACCTCGTCAGTCATCAACGTCAGCAGTCAACCGCCTGATTCCAAACGCTACGCGGAACATCACGTTTGCCATGTTACAGCCGCATTTCGAGCGGCCACTACAACAAGCGGCCGACAGCTTTGGCGTCTGCACGACCCTACTGAAAAAAATCTGTCGACGGAACGGTATCGACAATTGGCCGCATCGAAGGATCCTTGGACTGCGCAAGAGCATCGTATCGATGGCCAAGCAAGTCGAGCACTTTGACGGAGAGCAAAAGCGCACGTATGCTAATCAGCTACAGAAGCTCACGCGCGAACTCGAGGCGTATATATGCACGGGGAACGAGCCGACGCAAGAGTTCTTGCGAACGCTCGACGTAGAGACTGCAGTAGAGCAGCAACTAAAGGACGCGACGGTAAGCGATCTGCAGGTGATTCCCGTCTGGTCATCAAGAACGAGCCTCGAGATGTCCTGCGATAGCAGTGCTCGAAATGTTTCTGAACCTTCGATGCCTAGCCGCTCTCTAAGCTCAATGGATCGTGCGGATCGCACTACGCATGGACTACAGCTACAAGTACCCGCGCCAGCACTACATCAGCGAGCATTGCCATCAATTGCGTCGATCCTGCAGCACCAGAGCTACTCCAGTCCAAGCCGTGCAGCCTCAAGTTTGAGTACAATCCCAACAAGCGGCGCTTCGCACTGTACAAAGACCCCGCACCAAGAACCAACGTGGCAATATTTGCCTCCTGCGCACGACGAGACCAAGTAATTGCGCTTGCAGGTGGTTTTGACAGGGAAGGAGAGGACCGGACTGTCCTACCAACGATAGATAGTCGAGTTCAGCTGCATGGTGTCGAACTACGTCTGTATCAACGCCACACTGTGCTACTAATGGCAAACCCTAGGAGCGCAAATAGTTGCGGCGGCAATGAGCAAATCTCTTGCGGGTAGTTGAATGGCAGTCTCCCTTTTTTCTCTATTTTCGTTGTGTGCACCGACTCCAGCGTCGCCGATTACGGCCACCAAAGGAATGGACAGACGAGAACCGATCAGCAGGAGACATTGTCCAAGTGAGCTGACGCACTTGTTGCATCGGAATGCAGGATGCTTGCTCACTACGAGAGTGCTTGAACGTGCCATCAGCAACCGACTATCCCCGACGCGAATCATGTCCAATTTGCAGTGCGTCCAGTGGGCACATCGACACTTGGGTGCAAAGAGCGTTCAAGAGACAATGCTGAGATCCTATGTGCTACATACCCAGCACTCAGCTTTTGAGCTGGATACCGATCATTGCAATCTTAAGGAATCGTTCTAGAGGATGTTAACAGTCTCGGCAATCGATGAAAATGCTCTTGACAACACTTCCTTGGCACGCTGTGCAAGACTGTGTCCCTCATACAGCGTTTCGCTCCGTCTTTAGCACAAGATCGACTTGCGTCTGACATCTGCTGCGAAAGCGTTGCACTGTACATTCAAGAGCACGGGTGGCTCTCAAATCTTCGACAAGCATTAGTGGAAGCAGATCGCGTCGATTCTTCTCGAAGGAACGTGCTTAAGCACTGAAGGATCATACGGACGAGGATAGGGATGTCAGGTAAAAAGTTCCATGACTTTCTAACAGTTCTTTGCACTTTTTCCACGTTTTGTCGCTATTACTACTTACTACCACTTTGTACCAGCTTTTTGATGTTTTGACCAGTTCATATCGTTTCATCCTGCTTTTGATAGTTTTACATGTATTGTTGTAGCTCCATAAAGTAGGTTCCCACAATGAAGAGTAGCCGGACCGAGCGAAAACCTCAAATGCGATGGAAAAGCCGTGCCGGGAGGCATGTACTAGTCACTATGTAGAAGAAAAGAAATCTGCATGCACACACCAAATCCTAAATGTCCAACCGGTCGCTGAAGAGGTTCTCAGCCTTCAAGTTCTTGGCCTCAATAGGAGCATCTGCGCACGACTGTGTCATGCTGTCAGCAGAGAGATCGCAATTAGCAGTACAACGCTATTTACCTGTGCAACGAGGACCCCCTTGCAAACTTCGTGTGGTTGCAGACCAAGTGAACAGCAGTTGCACTTGGCCTTGACTATATCGAAAGCTCACTCACTTCTCTGTGCTGCAAAATGGAAAGTAGAATCAAGAGTTAAACTACTGCTAAAATGAAAATATAATTCCTCTCATAAACTGATCAATTCAATCCAGATAGTTCGAAGATCACCGTCCATGCAAGTCGCCCTTTTCACGACACGCACATCACCGTCATTAGTCGTGATCCACTACATTGACTTCCCCCAGCCATTTTTACCGTCTCATAGAACGTCCGCACCAGAAGTTGGAGTTTTTTATAAAAAAAATCAAAATGTTAAAAAAAAAATGGTTAAAAATAACGAATAAAAACTTAACAATATTACCTGAATATAATAATCATTCTGTAAGTATTTATAATGGTAAATTATTTATTAATTTAGAAATAAATAATAAAATGATTGGCTTTAAATGAAGACGTCCGATGGTGGGTATTTAAAGCTGCGAATCGCAAAGAATGTGTTAAAATTAAAAGCAGTACAGAGAAGGCATGCATAAAGTATTTTGCGGATACAGTGGACCTTCAAGACTGATTGTGTACAAAGTGGATCATGGTGCTTACCCGTGCCATGTCTCCTTTGGGCTAGGTGGTAACAGGTGGTCGACGGACAGTGAATGTAGTTGCAGCGCAACCTCCCATTTATAGCCTTGACTGATGTAAATAAGTATTGGTAAAAAGCTTGCTCAAAATTGGCCTTGTTTCTAACGAAATTAACGCTGGTAAAAATAAAATGTTATTACCAAAGACTTTTTACCTAGCATCCCTGGGTGAGAGGTTGCCATGCCATCCAAACCTTTCGTAAGATAGGGGAGCAGGCTCTGGAGCTCGCCTTTTGGTATAAGTAATCCAGTTCACAGAACTGAATCAAGTTGCAAAACACTATACAGCAGCAGTCACTGAAGAAGGAGTATGATGCTGTCAATGTCGGTGTGAATCCAAAACAGAATACTTGGGCAACGCATTCAGCCTTTTCTTACCAGCGTCCAGCATTTGTTTATGTAATCCTATTCATCTTTGATCGATTGTAAGCCAATCACGTCCATGTATCACAATATGGACCAACCCAACGAGTGACTTCGGATATGCCTATGACGGGGGACAGGCTAGATCGTATTTGGTACGAGTCAGGTACACCTAACCGCGTTACTTCCAGACACACACAGATAAGTACGATTTAAAAGTGCGATTTAAAAGTCCGGCGTTCTACCTTGCGCACAGTCACTCGTAGCTTCACCCCTCGGGCTCGCAATCACCTTTGCATTGAGAGAAGTTTCGTAGATAGTGGTCGTAGTTATAATACAGCTACTTGCCTACAGAGCTCTACAGCAGACACTAGTGTCAACTGCCTTGCTTGCCTGTCTGTGGTGATAGGATCTGCTTGGCAACGAAGGGTTGCGACTCGTGAACGAAGCACGGGTTGCAGTGCAAACCCATCGTGCTTCACGATAGGACTCGCATCACATCACGTGCGTGGGTTGATAGTCGCACCTTCTTGCATGCACGGCCAGTCATCCCAGCACCACGTTGCACTAGGCCAATCCAATGCCCTGCCGCTGTCTCTGCAATGACGAGTGCCTCTGAGCTCGTCTAGCTGCTACATCTCTCCGCTATTCCTTAAGCTTCATGATCCCAAAAGCTGGCCAAGTCTTCCGCTACCAACCGAGTCTCATTTTTGTTTTCTCATCCTTAACATCCGCAAGCAGCTTGAGCCCGTCGCAGTTGCGCTGCCTTCGCACGTAGACCCGTCGATCTACTTCTCATAAACAATCCTCAGTCAAAGTGCGTGAAGGCGAGCCACCGGTCGTTCCCATTCTTCGCAAAGGCTCTCAGAGTGGGTCTCTAGGATACGCTTTCCATTCAGATCGAGCGATAGACGTGAAGGCACGACAGAAAACGGAGACGTCTAATCCTCTCGTCCACTCTAACGCTGATGCTGCGGCGAGGCTGCCTACTGCTGCTCACTACTGGACAGACGCCGCAAAACCGGACGGACCGAACAAGTCGCCACTGCATATTTGGTTCATCCACGATCAGCGTGCACGTCCAGCAGGCCTTACCTCATTTCCCGATCTACACTGACAAGCGACGGTCGACGAACTTCCAACAGCAGCAGCAGGAGCAGCAACCTGTTAAGCATTCACCTTCAGATAGTAAGAGACGTCACCCATCAGCTCCCGTACCAATTGCTATACCCAATGTCTTCGGTGCATAAACGTCAGCTCACCGACACCAGTCGTTCCTCTCGGGTCAAGCGTCCTAAACCATCGGCATCTGACTCCTTGAGTGCATCACCAGTGACTCCATCCCCATGTACCACGGCAGGTTCTTCACGGTCCCACATGACGGTCTCAAGTGACATTACGCTCGACATGTTGCGGCCGCACTTTGAAGAACCGCTGGCCAAAGTCGCGGCTACCTTCGGCATTTGTGTGACGTTGCTCAAGAAGATTTGCCGCCGACATGGCATCGCGCGGTGGCCCCATCGTCAGATCACGGGCTTGCGCAAAAGCATCGCGTCGATGGAGCACGCCATCTACTACTTTGACGGCGCTCGACGCGAGTCGTACGTTGAGCAATTGGCAAAGCAGAAGATCAAACTGGCTGCCCTGTTGGCAGACCCGACAACCAAGAACGATGCGGTTCTAGCGACGAAAGAGGACATCTGTGCCGATCAAGGCAGCGAACGACCGGCTATAGCTTGTGCTGCTCAAGAAGCTGCTACTGATGTATTCGAGAAGCGGACATCTACTTCAAAGGGACAAGGATCAGCGTCGCCTACGGGTCCATTTGTTGGCACGTCACCGTACTATGGTTTAGCTTCTGGGGTCACGCCATTGCAAGCGCTACCGATATGGCTGCCACCCATCGAGTCGAGCTGCTCGGATCAGTGGCCGAAAGCGTACTCGCCGTCGATGGTGGACCACCTTCACTGTGAAGACGATGGTGGTCGGACACTCAACTCGTACTACAACTACGTGTTCAACTCAGCGGCGTTACCCGGTCGCTTGCCTCCTTTACAATCAGAGTCGCAAGGGATACTACCCCCCATCTCGTCGCTGGTGCGAAAGCCCAGCAACTGGTACACCTTCACCATGTAGGGGAGGAGCAAGCGGCTTCTTGGCGCTTGACGGCACAACAAAGCAAGAGAAGGCATGTCGACGACTTCGTACATCGTTCAGTTTTATCGACGCTCGCAAGCGAGTTACAAGGAAGGAATAACTCGTGCACTCCCTACTGCTCTTTCGTGGTCGAACATGCAAGTTGAGGCTGGAGCGAGGATAGACGACTCGACGCTGACTATCCATCCACGTGGGTTGTATCGTCGCCCGCTCTCCTAGCCAAATCGTCAGCAGACAAGTCGACAACAGTGAACACTCGCAGCCCCTGAACGTGGTCGAGCGAAGAGGGGAGGAAGGGGTTCGTTCATCTCGCCCTTCTCCTCCCATCGCTCCCCTGAAAAATCGGCGACAGAAGTCGATAGATAGTTGAAGGAACACGTCTTAATGAACACTACCACCATAGAGTTAGCTCGTGCATTCCTCTTAATCAACATATCTGCCTGCAAATAAGTGGACGGTGGACAGCTCCGACATCTTTGTCGTCAAGAAGACCCCACCATCTCCACTCTCTCTCTCTTCTTCGCCTCTGTCTCTATCGCTTTCTCTCTCTCTCTCGACGATGTGCTCATATTTCCCGCAACGAACGACGAAAGAGCACGAACGCTTGCGACAATGCTACCAGAGACAATAGTGCGCAGAGCAGGAGTCCGTCCCCCGGACGTGGCAACCGGCTGGGATTTGCGCTCTCCCGGCTCATTTCAACCCCTCGTCGTCCCTCAAATCATGTGCTCTTCGCCACGATGCACCCGTTCGCCCTCGTTGCTATCGTCCCCTTCCGACGACGAGCGATCGTAAATGCCAACTTCGGACTCGAAGGAAAACTTCGGATAGCGATTGTCTTGTGCCAACATCTCCGTGTTGCGAGCTTCAACGTCCCGCATGGTAATAGGATCAACAATATCGTAGTCACTCCTCATGCTGCTTGCGGTCGAGACACCCGAAACACCGAAGAACGGCATTTGTCGACTACCCGGTGGCGGCTTGGCGAAATCATAACTCGTCAGCTTTGGTCGACTCGCAGACGCTTTATCTTTTGCTTCGACGCCATTAGCGGCTGTAGGCATGAGCTGACTTACAGTCAATGGATGGTGTTCAGCTCGCATCACGCCCATCTCGTAAGGTCGGCAATTCGCTGACGAAGCAGTCACATCGACGAAATTCCCGCTTGCTTGCAAAGGTGCAGGGGGCACGCCATTGTTCCCATAGTGATGCGGACCATTAGTCGCCACGACGTCCGGGCCGGTACTTACGCCGTAGTCGCAATAATACGGGGAACTCTCGGCAAACTGGGACTTGCCCCCGAAGGTGGAAAAGTCGGCAGTTGACCTCGAAAACGACGCGCTGGCGTCGTAGGTGCTACTTGCTTGCGAGTCGGCCAACATGGTGATCTCCTGACTCGGATCGGTCTCGTAGCCGTACGCTGAATACATGTGACCTCCAGTGCCTTCCGTGTCAAACGTCCTGTCGGACCATTGACTATTGCGCGACATCACGGTCGGGTCCTGATTCCTATTCATCAACTTCCTCTTCTTCTTCTTCTTCTTCTCGTTCAAATGACGAGCTAAGAAGACGATCAGTAGCACCACGAAAAGTACCGCACCACTAATGAGGGCGTACTGGACGGTCGTAGGGGACCCCGTTGTCGCCTTTGTGTTATCGTGCGTCAGCGCTTCTCCGGCTTCATTACTTTGTGCTGCCTGTGAAGACGGTTGAGTCGCGTCTGATTGAGTACGTGGCATCGGAATGGACGGAGGTGACAAGGCATTGTCCGGGCTGATTGTGTGACCGAAACTCGGGTTGGACGAAGCGGGACCTCCATCCGGTTCTTCCTCTTTTTCAGGCGTCTCGCCTTTTGTAGGTTGCCCACTTGACCTTGCCGCTCCGTCACTGCTGCTAGACTGGGTGCTTCTGTGCTCCGACTTGGGCTTATCGCATTCATAAGCGTCCGCAAAAGGACAGTCTTTGCTCTTGTTGCGACTGTAGCAGGAGAACTCGCCACCTGAGAGCGCATACATGCACGGTGGACACTCTTGTTTACCAACTTCGCAGGGATCGGAACCTTCGGCATAACATGCCGTAACCTCCTCTGGGCAAGTCCAGGTTGCTTTGAGGGACCGGTGCGGCGTTCGTCCCATCGTTATCTGAGCCTGTAAGGGGGTTGTCCTACTCCTGTCGAAGCTGTATGAGTGCAGGTGATGCACCTGGCTGGATGAGGGGATCAAGTAGAGCCAGGTGAAGGAACCACCACCTGGGCAGCAGAGCTTTTGTCAACCAAACGCGCTTCCTGAAAGCTCGATCGATCGGTAGACTGACTCACTAGGGAGGGATTGAAAGTGACGAAAGGCATGTACGGACGATATCGTCGATAGACCAAGGCGACATCTGGTCGTCCTCACGTGCACTGAAGAGCTCTGAAAGAAGGCACTCACTCGGTCGGTTGTGCGATCGAAACGAATTCGAGACGGCGTTTGTCGACTTGACGCAGCTCGCTCTTGGTCAGGATCACAGCGAGATCAGACATGCGATAGGCCGCCGCATGTCCGTCGTCAACCTCTCGAGCTGGTTAGTCCTGCCGTGCCCACAGACCTGCTGCTGTTTGACTAGGAGGCGAGCAGAGCAGAGCAGGGACGGACAGTTGCAAACGCGGCAAGTATCAAGGCCATGTGGGGACTTGACTAGGTTCACCAGGTGCTTTTCGAGTGTGTGCGTCCACGTCAGCTGCAGCACGTGGCCGAACCGGTGAGTTGTCACTTGACGAGGAGACTATCGAGCTCAAAGCTCAGAGCTCAAGAAGCTACGGACCTCATCGTCCAGTGTCAATCACTCCAATGCCATAGCACAAGCGAAGCAACACCTACGTGATATTTCTACATTAACAACAACTGCATCGCCTCTGGAAGCTCAGGTCACTGGACGTCGAGCCAACCTCAAGTCGTACAGCATCCATCTATCCTCTCTTTCAAGCTCTTGGCGACGATGAGGTCGGACTCGTCGCTGCTACCGGTCCAGCTGCATAGCCGTCTAGAAACTCCAGATACTTGTCGCCTCCGCTGCCACTTTTCTCAGCTCCGGCATAGGACGACGCCGCGCTGCTTCGATCGCTCAGACTACAGGAACTGCTGACCGAGAGTTGCATGAGGTTCTGCAGCTGGTCCAAGTTCTCCTGCTGCAGTCGCTCGCACCGCATCACGGTCTCAGTCAAGAGCATGATAATGTCACTGTGCATCTCCTCCTGCTCTCGACACCACGTTTCCACGTCCTCCGACAGCATCGACGTCGTCGTGGTACCACCACCCACGGACTGCAACGTATCGTGACTAGCTGACCGCTGCCGGCTCATCCCGTCGTCGTCTTCAGCGTCCTTCAACCGGTCGATTTGACTGCAGCTCTGACGCTTGTCGTCCATCACGCCCCCGTCCCGCATCCTCTGCTCGTTCTTCTCCTTAGTCGACGCCTTGAGCACCCGCGACCGTGAAAAAAATGAGGATGTCGGTGCTTTGCGAGCGACTGCGGCTGCATCCTCCGCCTCCGAGTGCGACTTGGACTTGCGAAGTGGCAACGACGCGGAGAACCGCATCGACGAGGAGGAAGAGGAGGAGGAAGGTGCAAAAGAGGAGGAGGTGGCGGTCGACGCTCGAGGTGACGTCTGGACGCTGGCGTTCGTCCGGAACGTCAGTGAAATCGGTCGCCGCGCAATCTCGAGCGTCTCGACGATCTCGGCGAACGGCCACGTGGTCACGCTCTCGTTGTTGATCTTCATCAACTGATCCCCTAAGCGGCACTTGCTCATGCCGGTGGTCACGCCGTCGGCATGATGCAGCATGGCGATCTGGGCCCCGACTTTCGTGTCCCGCTTGGCGTAATTGCGCAGCGCAATGCCGCAGTCGCCACTGACGTAGATGACCGTGTACGAGTCCAAGTGTTTCGAGGAGGAGGACCAGGACGAGTGCGAGTGCGAATGGTGCTTTAGTGCGGATGTGCCTCGCGCTGGTCGGTGCAAAAAGGGCGTGGGGATAGACGGCGGGAAGAGGTGGTCGTGGTCGTGGTTGGACGAGGAATTGAGACCGTCCGACGTTGTCGATCGTCGTAGGGGGTCGGAGGAAGTGGATGAGGAAGACGAGGAGGAGGAGGAGGACGTTCGGAGGAGCGAGTCGTAGAGTTCCGACTTGCGGGTCATGTCGTTGCGAAGAGCTCGGAGTTCTTCCACAAGTGCTGGTAAACTACGTGCCAATTCCATCGCAACTGGCAACCCGACGTTTCTTGCAATGTCCCGGTTTGTTTGTTTGGTGGACGCTTGAGAGATTAATTTGAGAATGAAGTGAGGGATGAGGCAGGTGGCAGGTAGCAGGTAGGTAGGTAGGTGGGTTGGTTGTGGGGTTGGTTTACGCCCTGGAAGGACGACGAGCCGATGTTTGGGATGGGGAGCGCTAGCCAGTCACTCTTTCCCTGAGTTAAGAGTCGATCAAGTCATGCAAAGAGAGAGAGAGAGAGCAAAAAGTGAAGTTGGGCGACTTCATGTTGGGCCTATCGGCTATCGACATGTGGAGCATACGTTGAGCAAGATAAGAGCGGTTACTGTCGATGACACATGGGATGGACGGAGTCTTCTTTTTTGGTCTCGACGTAGCATCTCCTTCATCCTCGTTCGTTGTGCCCCCTACAGCGACTCGTTTCGACTCGAGTTGGTCGGCATTAGCACATGAAAAATGTCATTGACACGCGTGATTCGAATGAGCTGTCAAGACGTGACGCCGGCTCGAAGGAACACTCAGTCGAACATTTATCGTCAGCAGCGAGCAGCAAGAGCAAAAAAAAACGATAGACACGAACAAATGCTGTCCACACATCATCGAGTGTGGATCGTTGAGCACCAGCGTCTCACGTCTCGTCTCGGTAGGAAAAGTTGGGGAGCTCAATTCGCTTGGACAAGTGAGCGCATGAACGTCGTTACGTTGCTCGTGTCGTTGTCGTCGACATCCCAGGACAAATCGCAACCGCTACGGCTTCAATTGGACGTCAACAGTTTTTGCGACGGTGACGAGGACTTTGTTCGAGCGCACGCTTTGTAAGCGAGACTTTGTATCGCTAGCATTAGCTTCTATTGCACGATTGACCTTGCGTTGTGATGTCTATAGATCGTATCTTGGACAAGAGGTATCGAACACATGAGCAGTGGTAAACGAGACGTGACGTGATGTGGTAGCTCCCGTCGACTTGACAGATTCTTCGAACGATCGCGTGTTTCTGCCAAGCGTCGTATCATCTGAGAGGGGGGGGAGGGTGGAGTCTGACACGGTCATGAGTTTGTAAGAATGGAAGGGATAGCGATCTTCTCGTCTCTTGCATGTGGAGCTTTTCGGGCTCGGTAGAATGAATCCGAGGGCATCTATCTATCGATAGGGTTGGATAGTTACAGGTGCACTAGCGACACGTGATTACCTATGCTTCCAAACAAGGGCCTGTCCTCACTCAAGAGCACATGAAAAGTATGACGGCCATGAAGGTCAAGTGGGTCTGGGCTGAGAAATGAACGAGTCCAAAGTGCTCTGCAACGCAACCCCCATAAGGCGTCAAGATTCGAGTTTTGACGCACACGATGCCGATATCTGCAAGAATTTAGAGCGGGACAAGCTGTGATACTTGGTCTGCGCGTGCGCAATCGTTGTGTTTGAATCTTGAGGATCTGATCGCGTAGCCAAGTCAGCTGCACATGCCGGCGGCGCACGAGATGACGAAACATGCGACCAGAATTATTCCTTGGGTTGATGAAACGTTCGCTGGGTTAGGAGATCAACAAGGAAGGCGAAAGAGTGAAATAGACCAAAAGCAGGAGAAGCGCATGAAAATTTGACGGCCGAGTTGTTTACGTCGACATCAGCTCGGATTGAGAGAAGCCTTGAGATATGAGTGACAGCTAGTCCGAGATGTTTCGTCGAACGCGGAGTTACATGACTAGGTCAAGATGTACGTGTGAGACGACGCTATCAGAAGTATCGAGACAGTGTGCGGCACTCTGTTCCAGACATTCGAGTGGCCGACTGACAAGTTGCTCAGCCTCGTTTACAGTGTTCGTTGGAGGCGGCTAGTGTCTACGAGTAACATGCATTGCAAACTAGCCACTTCTGCTGAAGAGAAGGGTTTACGTGATCCACCAGATCACTATGGTTTCGTTTGATGATGGTTGATTACGTGGAATGGGGTGAACCTGTAACATGTATTCAACTTTGATACTTGTTAATTGGACTTTATCATAAAGATTGAAGATGAGCGTGAATATTACCATGAGGGGTATAATTCAGAAACACTCACCGATTGGCTGATATGGGTCATCATGTCAGCCAGCTCTGGTGGTCGATCAACGATGGACGCGCGCAATGGATAAAAAGCAAGCCTTTAGCCTTCATTTTTGTAGATAAAGTTGATTAAGCTAGGACTAAACAGGTTGATGATGGGACTAAATTATATTTGTTACGATTTTTTTTACCAGCAGCTAGTGAGATCTCAGTTGTTTTCCCCTCCTCTGCGTAGTTTACAGAGGTAGCGAGGCACCATTCGCACTGCTGACGGTGAGACTAGCTCCTCACTGGTTGTCCAGTGTGTTGCTTCGGTGCCCCGTTTCGATTGACACGCTCGGGTAGTACTGGCGGGACTGGTGCTGTCTGTGTGAATGAGAAGTGACCATACGTATTGACGACACGTGCATCGGTGATGAGGTTAGTGTACCAGTGCTACCAAATTGGTGCAGAGCATACATCTGTACATGTCCACTTGAGCAGCTTCAATATTACTGCTTCGTAGATCATCCTTTTACACAAATGACATAGGCAAGATACTGTCATGGCATTCAAGTTTTTTAATACTACGGGTGAGTGATGAATCAAACAATGTTCTAAGGATGATGCGCAACAAGCATCATGCAAACGGAATTCTCCTTGTTCGATAGTGTAACTTTTAGGGAGGATTATAAACTAATGTAGCATAACAACTGCTGATTATGCGGCCACGACCAAATCTTGACACACTAGGGTCTGGATTTTCTTCGCAGGGTTCAAAGTCTACATGTCTGCACGTGATATAGCTAAGTTTTAGCCAAAAGCCAAGCTGCTTCTTCAGCCATGGATGTACAAGAGTACAGCTTGACGGAGATCATGAGTCATCTTTGTAACGGGGTGAATCGTTACATAACAATTTATAAGAAATTGTTAATAGAATATAACTATAAGAGTTTTATTCTCAGAATATTGTCATAAGGACAAATATTCTGTAGCACTTACGAGTAGTTCCTAATTGGTTGATATAGGCCATTATATCAACCAACGAAGACGCGCCACGACAGACGCACGCAATGAGTGGTGAGCAGATAGTTGATTTACACATTTGTATTTAGACATAGTTAGATGAAGATAAATAGTGATTTATTGCAGACATTAACTATTATAAATACAGTTCTACTTTTACTTTAACCAAGTACTCGCTTCTTCTTACCGTCTTCCTCTGCACGTACGAGTGTACGTGAAGTTACGAGGCACCGCCTTATTCTGTCATCAGAATAAGTAGCTTGTACTGTCACCAGTACAAGCTTCAGGGTGCCCCGTTACACCCGGTAGCACTTCGTAGTCCGTCCAAGGACCACGTTCACATCTAACATGAATATGTTGGATGATGAAGATGACCAAAGCTTTCACGCTACGCGTGACGGCTACTCCCATTTGAGCGATGTCGAATGGGATGCGGTTGAACGAATGGGTTCGACCATGGGCATCCATGCTGTTAGCGTCATGCTAGAGGCTCTCAATAGAGATGCCCAACATGCTACTATCGCCAAGTTCATTCAAAATGAACTTGACGCTGAACGCGAGAAAGTAGCCTTGCTTCACCAACAAGGTTCTCAACAAGGAGAGTTATTGAGAGAACAGGGTGCTCAATAGTTTGAACTGTTGAGACAGCAGGAGGCTGCTGCTGGCGGGTCGATGCACTCGCGTCGACCCGAGACCTTGAAGATTGATATCTCCAAGTATAGGGGGGTCGAAGAAGACTCCCTCTTGAGATGGTTCGTCGAATCGGATGACGCCATATAGGCGCGTCGCATCGACGACGGGGATATGCAAGTTGCCTTTGCCCAGTCAAATCTGGCAGGACGTGTCAAGACTTGGGCACTGGGGCTCAAGTTGCACGACCCATATGCGTTTGGGTCGTTGGAAGTCTTCAAGTCGCGGCTCAGACAAACGTTTGAACCGCCTAGAGCTGAGTTCAGAGCTCGAACCGAACTCTTGAAGCTCAAGCAGGGTAAGCGTGATGTGCACGCTTACGCGCAGCATATACGACATCTTACGAGTTGTATAAGTTCCAATCCGGTGGATGAACACACGTTGGTTTCGGTGTTCATGCAGGGTCTTGCGGATGGTCCCGTCAAGACTCACCTGTTCCGGCTTGAACTAGATTCACTAGAACAAGCCATTTCCATTGCGGAGCAGGAAGACTTCAGTCTGAGGCAGGCTCGCGCCAGCTCGACATCTTATCGTCAACCGAGACGATATGACAGCGGAGGTCCAGAGCCGATGGAACTCTGTTATGTAGAGAGCGAGAAGGCTCGCTCTACAGGCTACAAGAAGTTGCAGAGATGCAACAGATGTCAAAAGACAGGACACTAAGCTTACGAGTGTAGTGCCCCTCGTCCAGTGTCTCGCGACACTGGGCGTAGTGACCGTCCACCCATGAGAAAGGGGCAGGGACGAGGGTCCGCTGTTGGTGCAAAGACGCAACAACGGGATGGACCGTCAAAAAACGGACAGGATCAGTAGGTGCGGAACACCCTACTGGTCCAGCAACGTCAAGAGAATTTGTAGGCCTCTTAATGAAGGTTGCTCCCAACACACAAACGTTGTGCGTTGCTGCTCTAGGTAATGAAGTCTCACTCATTGCCTTGAAACTCGAAGTGACGAATAAGTTGTCCCTTCGAGCTCTAGTCGATTGTGGGGCGTCCAACAATTTTGTGCGACGCCAAGAAGATGGTCACTTTAAGTTCAGTGAATGTGACACACCTCCTACGAGGATGACGGTACGTCTTGCGACAGGCGCATCCGTAACCGTCATGAAGCGTATAGTGAAGATCCACTATACGCTAGAAGATACCCAATATGACGATGACTTTATCGTATTGGAATTGAATGACAAATTTTATGTCATCCTTGGAATACCGTGGCTCAGAAGGTACGAACCACGGGTAAACTGGCAACATCGGACAGTAACGATGCCTGCCGCTTGTTCATCAGATGGCCATCTGATGAACGTTTTGGAGCGTCCACAAGCATGTGGATGTACTACGAGTGAGTGCGATGGCCTCACTTGTGGTACGGTCGTTAGTACGACTGCACAAAACCTTAGTGTACCAAACGGTTACACTTCGGAGCAAAGTTCCGGCGGCTGTGAGGAAACACAGGCTGCGCCGAAGGTCCACCACTCGAATAAGTCGGGTGGACTGGGACAAAGATGTATCCCTAGCGGGGAACATCTAGAAGAGAAACAATCGATCGCTCAGGTTAAGCGAAACGATAATCCTAGATCGACTAGAGAGTCTTTCGTAGAGGATCTCGCTGTGGTTGCGCAACCCCAGCTAGAGGAAGTAAAGGGAATAAGTCCCGATATTACAAATACGGCGGAAATAAGTTCCCCGAAACCCGCGGGAATAAGTCCCCGGGAAGACGAAGGAATAAGTCCTTCGAAGCCTGAGGGAATAAGTCCCCAGGAAATGACAGATACATTGAATGTCATAGTCAATAACGGATCAAGTGTAGGCGCTTATACACTTGATCTGATTGCGCCTCCGAAGTTAACTTCGGAGATCACTCAGTTGCCAACGCTCGAACATAAAAGGTTCTTGCGTGATCTGCGTAGTGGCAAAGTCAAGCAGATCTGCATACTCGTCGCTGACGACGAGTATGTATCCGACATAAGGTCAGCAACAGTGTTCACTGAGAACGAGAGAGTTCTCAGTAGTTCATCTATGGACGAGAGTGTCCTAGATGAAAAGACACGAATTGAGCGATATGACTCCCAATCGTGGGAATCGCTCAAGACAAATCCTCTCTATGAAGATTTGGTTGAATTCAAGGATGTATTCCCTGAAACTGTTCCGTGCGAATTACCGAAGGATAAAGGTATTCGACACGAGGTCGAGCTTAAACCAGGCTCGAAGTACTGTGTCATGAAGCAGTGGCCACTGCCTCGTGAACAAGTACTTGCGATCGACAAGTTCTTTGCCGATCGTTTAGCTGCGGGCCATGTGAGGGAATCAACTTCCCCACATAGCTCTCCGACCTTCTGTGTAGAGGAAGACGGTAAGAAGAAGCGAGTACTTGGTTAGAGTAAAAAGTAGAACTGTATTTATAATAGTTAATGTCTGCAATAAATCACTATTTATCTTCATCTAACTATGTCTAAATACAAATGTGTAAATCAACTATCTGCTCACCACTCATTGCGTGCGTCTGTCGTGGCGCGTCTTCGTTGGTTGATATAATGGCCTATATCAACCAATTAGGAACTACTCGTAAGTGCTACAGAATATTTGTCCTTATGACAATATTCTGAGAATAAAACTCTTATAGTTATATTCTATTAACAATTTCTTATAAATTGTTATGTAACGATTCACCCCGTTACATCACCCCCCCCTTAACCATCAGTCACTTTAGTGACTGATCGACTAAATGGATACTCGTCCCAAATCATTTGGGACAGGGTTTGCACTTGTTGGTCCGAGTCCACTTTCCAACATCTCATAGCATGGTTAACTAGCCCATGCGATGCGCGAGCAAGGCCGCCGAGAGCGCGTCCGCACGTCTCTGTGCGGACGCCGAAGCAGAAACCACAGCAACTGATGTCTCATCGGTTGCTGAAGCGACCCAGCCTGTGTCACTTGGTGATGCAGGCGCTGGTCATGAAGACACTCATGTCTTCACAGAGTATGAGCTCGGTGTCTCATACTCTCCTGATACGGAAGACGGATCCGTATCGACGGCGATTGAATCCAAGCCGCCTGCCAAGCGTGGTATGGACGATGCTTTGCGTCGTAGCATCTTTGGTTCATCTGATGAATCAGATGAACCATCGCCGAAGCGAAGGCGCTCGAGGTCGCGAGACTCGGGCGCTAACAGTGGTGTCGGTTCTCCTATGGACACCACTTCGCAACGAGGTGCCAGTACTTCTGTCGGCACATCGCAGGAAGAGCGGGACCGCAATGTGTTACGTCTCGCTCCCGAGAAAAAGGCATGGATGCCTCCCAAATCCGTCATGGATTACTTGTCGGCGACGACGAGTGATCGTTATCGAACACGATTGTTCGATTCGTCAAGGATCCATCACCTTGACCCCAGCGCGAAAAACTCTCGCGCTGAACATGAATTCTTCATCGATGCCTTCTTCAGACATCGATGGTACAGTGGGAACCACAAGCGTGATGGTCCCTCACTACTTCAAGCGTGGAACGCCTACATCCATAACCTTGAGGATGTAGGTCGTGACGCTTGGAACGACAAACTTATCAAAGCTCGTGATAAGTTTGAAAAGCGAACCCCGACAGGTGCACGCTACAAGCTGCATCGTCTGTCAAGGGAGAAAGGATTACCCTGCCTCTCTTGAGGAGACTCGTGCCCGTGTTGTGTAAACAACTCTGCACGAGCACCTAAGGAGGCTTACCTCCCTAATAGCCCGTGGTGGCGCGTACGTATCTCTAGTGAGATGTACGAAGGGATTGACAACCTGAAATCCCTTTGCGACCGTGCCGGGAAGACTTTCTCCGACGGTCCTTCTGCGGCAAAGGATGCGCCGCGTCGTACTGCTCAACCAGACCCAGTAGGCGATCATCAGTTTGGAGCGGGGCTCCCAAGTATCATAGGACGGGGGATAGCCGCGCCACCGGACGAGATAACTCGTCCGACGTCCGTTCACGTCGCGGTGGTTCAACAGCTGCTCAACTAGATAGCGCTGGCCACCGCGAGAGTTCTCTAATGGAGGTGGAGGAGGAGGAAAGATGCTATCCACACGATCATGTGGATCGGTGTGTTCCCGAGAGCTTCTTTGATCGCGTAAATCTTGCGTTACGCGACGATCTCGAACATGAGCGGAATAGGCGTCTCCAAATGGCGGACACTGCCTCGAAGCATCGAGCTGAGTTTGCCTTTGCTCAGCTTGAGAACGAGAGATCTCTGACATCTCTTCGTGAAGAGCTAAGGGTAGCTCGTGGGATTGTTGATCGTTCTCGGGATGAGGTAGCTGCTCTTCAGACCCTTGTTGATGCCCACCATCGGGAGCACAAGGCTCTCTGCGAGATGATTGAGCGCAAGGGCGTTCTTCATCGGAAGAAGCAGCGTACTGATGGTACGGCTTAAGCCGACCAACGTAAAACGTGGGATGCGTTCGCATCTTACGTGGTAACTCGATCGTGTATGCATTGCGCAGGTGGTGCAATACACGAAATGGGCCGATGTACTTGGGTAGTAGTTTACTGCTACCCAAGTACAACTTTAATGTTTATCTAACTATATTTTACATCGTCGTCGTATAACGACAACCTGCTCACCACTTATTGCGCGCGTCTAGTAGCGATTGGTGAAACTCTATGGTTGATATGTCTTATATCAACCAATCTTGGAGCAGCGCATGAATATTATCAAAGGAGGATACAATTCCTTCAATATTATCTATCTCGGATAATATTGGTAGAACATTGTCATGCTAGAAAATATTCCAATCGACACCGTTTGATGTCAAGATCATGTAACGAGCTAGCCCGTTACAGATATTGTCGTGATAGACAATGTCCCTATTGGCACCGTTTGGTGAAAATTTCATGTAACGGGATACCCCGTTACATCACTTCCCCCCCTTAACCATCAATCACCCGTTGATTGAATTGAATCGATTAAGACAGGGTGACCACCGTCGGGTCACTCTGGGAAAGGGAGCACTTGTTGGTCCAATTCCATTCATTTGCCAATCCAAAGCATGGTTCGAAAACCACGCGAGCTGCTACTGCAGCAGCAAGAAAGGCGGCTGCACGCATGGTGCAGCCGGGGAAAATGCCTCTCACACCTCAGTATCAGGTGATTCGTCGCCTGCTGCTGTGAACAGTCCACGTGGTGAGTCACCACGTGCGACAGGTACATCCGCTGCGTCTACAGCGGCAACCGCGAATCGTAATCAAGATGACTCTGAAATAGAGAACATCTATTTTGGCGAGTCAGACGATGCATCCGACTCGAAGGCAACACTTCACGCCTCGGGATCACCCGAGGCGGACACTGCAAGAGCCATGTTGACTGGCTCTGGTCAACGTGGCGGCATCATGTCCGAGATCTTCGGATCGAGCGATTGTTCCGACAAATCTCCGCCTTACGCAAGTCCATCCAACGATAGGACGCGTGAGGATGGTGGTGATGCACGTATGCATCATCACGAGCGAAGTAACTCGAGGGATCGGGGTATCACTGGTGTCAGCGCTCACAATGGCACCAATCAAGAGGCCAAGAACCGAAATGTCCTGCTCCACGCTCCTCAAGTGGATTCTCCATGGATGCCGTCATCCAGAAAGTTGGACCGGTTGGCCGGCATGACTACCGAAAGGGATCGAATCCCATTGTTCGATTGTAGGAAGATTGGTCCACCTGATTCCAGCACGGAAACTGTCCGTGCTGAGGAAGAGTTCTTTACCGATGCATTTTTAAAACATCGGTGGTACAATGACAGCCGTGTTAGAGACGGCAAAGCCTTGGTGCAAGGATGGAATGCCCTCATCCATAACATCGAGTGCATTGGCCGTGAGGCATGGCTCGGTAAACTTAATGCAGCTCGCATCGGGTTTGAAGAGCGTAACCCAGTCAGAGTGCAATACAAGTTGCACCGGCTTCCAAAAGAGGCAGGAATACCCTGTCTCTCGTAGAGTAATTCGTGTCCAGGTTGCCTGGACAACTCGAACTGTGCCCCTAGGGAGGCCTACACCCTAATGATCCCTACTAAAGGGCGCGCATCTCTTCCGAGATGGCCGGAGGGATTAAAAGCTTGCAATCTTTGTACTCGCGTTCGGAGAGAACGTTTTCCGACGGTTCTTCTTCAAACGCATCGGGTGGGTCTCGTCGTTCTGCTCGACGAAACCCAGGACATCAACGATCAGCTGGGCACGAGGCTCCCAGCTGTCCCACGCCGGTGGATAGCCACGACAGCGGACGATGTAACTCGTCCGGACGCCATTCACTTCGCGGCGGCTCAACAAACGCTACAGCAGAGAGTGTTGACCACCACTTAAGTCCATCAAGAATTTGTGGTGGCGGCGGTAACACCTGATCCGGCTTGAGGGTCGGATCAGCTTGATGTTTAGGGAATGAACCGTGTGACGGAACAGTTGCAAGATGACCTGGCTCATGAAAGGACTCATTGTTGTGAGCTTAAGGATCTTGTAAAAAATAGTTAAAATTCCTTAACGCATGATCATGCGGACGATCGTGCCGCTTTTGCGCTCGCGCAACTTCAGAACGAACGTTCACTCGTTCTCTTCGTGACGAGCTGTCTGCATCTCGTCGAGACATCGCTGAACTGCGTGAGAATGTCGCTTCGCTCGTCGAACAGACTGGCTTATTGAAACGGGAACACATGAAGGTGGTCTCGGCTCTCGACTACGGAGGTGTTCTTGGCCTCTCGAAACGGGCTCGTACTGATAGTACGGGCAGAGAAGACCAACGTAAAACATAGGATGCGTACGCATCTTACTGGGCGGTTCAATTGTGTTTGCGTTGCCCATTCGACGCAACACACTAAATGGACCGATGTACCTGGGCAGTAATTTGCTGCTGCCCACGTTTGTCACTGCGTGTTTTGGTAAATTCAAATTAGACAGTAAACTAAATCTCCTTCATCAAATGATATTTGCGCTTCCATGTTTGTCTGCGTTTCGTTTCTGTCAGTCTAGTGCATCTACAATAGAGTCTTGAAAGAAGCGGACAAGCGCTTGGCAAGTCAGCAGAAAATCCTCTTCTGATTCATCCTTTTTAACAGCAGTGCGCTTCGTGTGCACTGCTGAACGAGCGTTGTCTTCACCAGTGAGGGTGTCATCGTCCTCACTTTGGCGGTCATTGGCGATGCTGAATATGCCAGTATCGTCGTCATCGTCATCATCGATATCGATTGCATCGACATCGGCATTCATCACGTCGACACCAATGTCGACGGGTGATGAGTAAGAACCAGGTCGGGTTTTGTTCGAGCGAGTATACCCCCCATTTAAAAAAAATTACACTCTAATAAGGCAGTTAAACGTGGATGGCGTAGGCCATTCACGAAGAATGGTGTATGCGTTGTCTACGCATGCACCGAGTTGTTGATGGCGAATACCACCATCGGCAAGAATTCAGTCCAACTCGCAAACGAGTGGACATACCCGCGACTTATCTCTTTGAGGACGCGGTTGACGCGTTCCGTCCGACCAAATGTTTCTGGATTTTCAGAAGTCGACATGGTCAAGTGTGCTTTAAGTAAACGAAACACGGATTAGCAGATCTTCGCTGTTAAGCGGGTGTCCCTATCGGACACGAGTTCACAGGATAACCTGTGAAGACGGAAGATAGCATCGATGACTCCGGTACAGCAACAAGATGTACCATCTTGCTGAACTGATCAACAAATACAAGAATACCAGTTTTTTTGTAAGCGTCTTTAGGAAACCCAAAGACGAAGTCCATCGATACGGACAGCCAACACTCTACCGGAATCGGAAGAGGCTGTAAGGGTGCGTGGGAAGAAGGACAAGGCTTCACTCGTTGACAGATCTCGCAAGCGCGAATGCATTTGCGCACAAACTTTTACTGGCGGGGCCAGTAGAGTTCACGACTCACCGTGGGGTAAGTATTTTCCTACCGCGTTGCTAACTTGTTGGGGCATCGTGACACTCATACATGATGCGCAATCGCAAATCATTATGAGCGGGAACGACGACACGAGGTGTGTCGCCGTTGACTGCTGTAAAATCTATCAGTCCATCACTAACAGAATACTGTTCGGTTGAAGAGCGGTATTAATGCGACAAGCTTTTTAAAGCTTGACTGCATGGATTACATACGTAATCCATCAATCGCTCCAGAGACTCATCTTCTGCGTATGTTTTATGCACGTCGTCGAACACATTCGACGACAAACACTCACTAATAGTGTTGAAACATTGGGATTACCCGTACTGTTGTGTTAAGCAGTCGGCTCCAAATTTGGCCGACGCGAAAGAGTGTCAGAGATGACATTAAGTCGTCCTGGTTTATACTCTACGGAGAAGTTGTAGTCCGCAAAGAAAGACAGCCACCTCGCCATTCGTTGCGAGAGGTGTGGGATGTTTACGGCCGTGCGTAACGACGCATGGTCGATATATATGATGAAGGGCCCTCTCCTAAGAGATACACTCGAAACTTGGTCAGTGCATATTTCATGGCAAGGGCTCCTTGTCGTGCACCAAATAATTTTGCTCAGTTGCTTGCAGCTGACGCGATTGATAACAAACGACACGCTCATCGCCGTCTGAGTCGTACTGCATTAATGCGCAGTTGATTGCAAAAATCGCTTGCGTCACAGACCGCATGAAATGGTCTGTACTGGTCTGCATTCGCCAACACAGGCGATTGCACCAAGCTTTTCTTGATGTCTTCAAAAGATTGCTGACACTCAGCGCTCCATGACCACCTCTCGTCTTTCTTTAGTAGAAGAGAGAGATGTACGGTCACCTCCGCATAGTTGCGCGAGTATTTGTGCAAGTACGCCGCCATGCCAAGGAACTTTCGAAGTCCCTTGACGTCAACTGGCACAGGCCAGTCGCTAATCACCTTGATATTTTCCGGGTCAGGGCGTACACCGTTTTTACCCACGATGCAGCCAAGAAGTGGTATTTCGTTCGCTGCGAATATACACTTCTTGAGGTTCGCGAACAACTAATGCTATCGCATTAGTGTAAGAACCGTCCGCACGTGGATTCTATAAAACTCCACGTCCGTCTTTCCATCCATATCCCGGCTATGGACGAAGACCTCGTCGAAGTAACTCGGTGCAAAATCGCGCACCGATCGCAACAGATACGTAACACATCTGTTAAACGTTGCGGGGGTGTTACTTAGCCCCTGCGGCATCATTAGCCACTCCCAGAGCATACCACTGGGAATGCTCACTGCTATGTACGGGATGTCTTGTTCACGCATGAGGATCTGATATAATACATTTACCAGATCCTTGGACAAAAAGATGATGCTTTTTGACATACCATCTATGATGACGTCCTTTCTTGGTATCGGCGTTTGAGCCGGTACCGTTGCAGCGTTCAATTTGTTGAACGCGTGCACTATCCGCCACCCTCCTGTTTAGTTTCGCACACAGAAGGTCGGAGAGCTGTGTGGGGATGTTGATTCCCTCACATGACCAGCAGCTTAGCGATTGGCAAAGAATTTGTCGATCGCTGTGACCTAATCACGAGGAACTGTTCACGAGGCAGTGACCGCTGCTCCATGACACAGTACTTCGAACCGAATTTCACATTAGGCAACTCGCATCGTACGGATTCTGGGAAAACATCTCTGAATTCGGCCAAATCCTTATATAAAGGATTTGTCTTCAAAGGCTCCCAACATTGAGACGTGTATCGCTCAATCCGAGTCTTCTCATCGAGAACACTCTCGTCCATCGATGAGCTACTGAGAACCCGTTCGTTCTCAGCAAACACTTGTGCCGACCAAATATCGGCGACGTAGTCGTCCTCTGTGACGTGTACGCAGATCTGCTTGATCTTGCCGCTATGCAGATCTCGCAAGAATCTTTTAGATTCTAGCGTTGGCAACTTGATTACCTCCGAAGCTGATTTCGGAGGTGTAACCAGATCAGTTGTTTAAGCACCTACACTTGATCCGTCATTCACCAAGACATTTACTGTCTCGGTGATTTTCTGGGAAAACACTTCCGCAGGTAGTTGGGGATCCACACCCTCAACACAACTATCTCGGGATTTACCACTCTCAGGAACGCTGGATTTTCTTCCATTACGTGTACTATCACGGTCACGTCCTCTTCGATCGACTCTGTTTAAGTCGATCGGGCTTGCTCTACGATCCACTCTATGATAGTCGATCTCGCTTCAACATGTTGTTCATCCTGAACAACACTAATCTTTTCTTCTCGGATGCACCCTTCTTGGTGTACAATCGTGTTCCAGTCCACTCGATCTCTTCGAGTGGTGAACCTTTGGCGCAGCCTGGGTCTCTACACAGGTGCCGGAAGCTGGGTTTACGGTGTAGTGGCCTTCTACACTGTGATCTTGTGCAATCGTACTAACGACCGTACCGAAAGTGAGTCCATCGCACTCACTCGCAGTGCATCAACACGATTGTGGACGCTCCAAGACGTTCATCAGATGGCCATCCGATAAACAAGTGACAGGCATATTCACGGTTCGATGCTGCCAGCTGACCCTTGGCTCGAACCGTTTGAGCTAAGGTAGCCCTATATGACATCAAACTTTTTATCTGAATTAATTACGATGAAGTCATCATTGTACTACGAATCTCCTAACGTGTAGTAAATCTCAGTATAAGTTTCATCAACCCTACCTATGCACATGTTGCAAGGCAACCGTCATCCTCGTAGAAGAAATAGCGCGCTCAACAAACTTTATCCTAGATCCTCTAGCGACTGGCTACGAAAAAGTTGTTCGACGCCCCACAGTCAGACACGAAGTGACAATTCTCTTGTCACTTATTACCCTAAGATGATACGAGGTACCTCATCACCAAGTGCAGAGTCACACACTGATCGTGAGTACGGAGCAACTACCATCAATAGGCTCGCAAATTATACTGAGGTTACTGGATCAGTAGGAGCTTCGCCCCTACTGACCCCGACAGTTTTCTATGGTCCGCCATGCTGTTGTGACTGCGAAACAGCGTCGGATCTGCTTCCGTTGACCTTCTTGACAGACGGTCGATCACTTTGCTCAGTTATTGGAGGCGCTGGGGGTTAAGAGCTACACTCGTAGGCGTCGTACCCAATTTTTTGTAGCGATTGCAAAATTGCAATAGCTTACTGTTTAAAGAGCGAAATTGTTTTGCTTATATCACTGCAAAGGTACATTGGCTCTGGACCTCTTGCTCCGACTCGTCTCGACGGACGATAGGGGGTCAAGCTAGTGTGATCCTGTCTCACACTTAATTCCTCTTGCACCACGTTTGTAATCGCTTCCTCAAGTGACTTCATCAAGATGCGGAAGAGGTGGTTCCTTGCAGGACCATCTGTAAGGCACTGTAGGAATGTCATGTTTAACTTGATTTCACCAACAGGATTCGCTACCATGCAACTTGCAAGTTGAAAGACGTGCTACGCGTAAGCGTGGACGTCATGCTTACCTTGTTTTACCTTCGAGAGCTCTGACAGAGTACTGCCTGAACTTAGCTTTTTGCAGATCAAACTTCTTTCTGAGTAGAGTCTTTATGACAGCTATCGATACAAACAGTTTGGATAATGTGATTGAAGATTAAGGGCCCAAATTCTGGTACTCCCTTACAATTCGATCGGCAAACGAAACATGCATTTACTCATCGTCAACGTGGTGACCCTCAATGACATTGTCCACTACGAGAATCATTAAAACAGGGAGACTTTTTCGACTCCCAGGTACTTGAAAACTTAAAACGTTACAGTAGATTGAGACTGTTGCTTTCTCAGGGGCTCAGTCCGCTGGTGACCATGCTGATGCAGCAGGGTCACTTCAGCTCGCGACGCGTCAAGTTCCCGATTCAAGATTTTGTCGATTACTGAATGCTGTTGGTCCCTATTCTTGAGCATAGCAAAGACCAGGAATCATTTTTGCCTTTATTTGAACTCAATCGTTCGATATATCTCCATTCGACATACTCGAACTATAGTAGCTTTTACGGGTGCCGTGAAAGGTGTCGTCACACCCGTCGTCCAAAGTTTTCATGCTGATCGGGATTCGTGGTATTTGGAAGGACTTAAACGGCTACCAATTGTAACGGAGCACCGGAGCAACACACTGGACAACCAGTGAGGAGCTGCTCTCACCGACGGCAGTGTGAGTGGTGCCTCGCTACCTCTGTATGTTGCAATCTCTCTAGCGCTGAGATTTTAGCTAGTTCTGGGTTCCTGATAACACCAGATGTATACACCTTG